TGAGAGGCGAGGAGCTCCGGTTCGAATCCCGTGTAACTACGGTTCAACAAAACAGTTCAAATCTGCATATAAGGAAGTTCAAATGGCACGGTTGCATCAAAAAAATGTGTTTTTATATCAGTTTTGCTTTTGTTAACACTATCGGGTAGGTTTAGGGTTGGGTTTGGTGTAGGGCATATTTCCAACACGATAGAGCATTAACTTTTAGCGTCAGTCTATTAAGAATATTTGAATTCTGAACCGCTGCAATACGTACCTGAAGAAACGTAATAAAAACACAGCAATACGTACCTATAATCAACGTAATAAAAACGTGCCAGGGTTGACGTATTGAACCCGTGTTTTAGCGCCACTCAGTGGACATTTCTCTTTGAAACTGTGGCGAAACGTGCAGTAAGGTACATAAAAACGGTGTTGCAGAAAAGTACACAGCGGTACGTATTTCTATGAGACTGGGTTGGTATATTCAGCCAAAAGTTTGGAATAATTACGATTTTTTTTTTTTATGTTTTTTGAAAGAAGTCTCTTATGCTCACCACTCTTATCCATTTATTTGTTCAATATTGTGAAATAGTATTATAATTTAAGATAAGAGTTTTCTCTTTGAATATATTTTGTAAAACGTAATTTATTTCTGTGATTTCAGCATCATTTCTCCAGTCTTCAGTGTCACATGATCCTTCAGAAATCATTCTAATATACTGATCTGCTGCTCAACAGACATTTATAATTATTATCAATGGGAAAAAAAAGAAAGAAAAAAAAAAACGTTTTGCTGCTTTTTGTGGAAACCATAATACACTACCATTCAAAGTTTTTTTTGTTTGTTTTTTTTCATTCAGCAAAGGATCAAATAATAATCAAATCCAAATAATCAAAAGTGACAGTAAATGCATTTATAATGTTACAAAAGATTTCAAATACACATATACATGATGTTCTATGGACTTTCTATTCATCAGAGAATCCGGTATGAAATGTATCATGATTTCCACAAAAATATTAAGCACAAACACCTGAAAAATATGAAAACTATTATTAATAATGAGCACCAATAATACTTAACACAACAGATGCTCTTTATCTGTCCTGTTTGCACAAAACAGATGCAGTATTCATCAAAATAATAAAAAATGCACAGGGGAATATAACACATATGATGCAAACCTAAAATAATACTTTAAAATTACAAATATACTTTGTGCGTTTAATCTAACTTTAATTACCAGTTTATTTGCTGTTGACCTTTCATGATCAAATCCACCCATACAAATAACCAAAAATTACTATGGCTTAATTAAACATATTTTTTTTGTTTGTTTATTTGTTTGTTTGGCAACACGACTGAAAGATGTGTCAAAGTGTGAATTTGCGGTTCCTCCAACCTGACGCATATTCACTTGAGCTTTTGGTGAGAAAGGTCTATTCATCATTGGTTCATTTCACGTTTTTGTGATGCGTTTGGTGTGAAATGGCCTTCAGAAGGCATCTGCCTACATTTTAGAACAGCTTTGGGATTGCCGGTGCACCTGTGACGCTTTAAACGCCTCGCTATGTAGGCAGCTGACTAGGGTTTGGAACAGAGTTTGTTATTCCTCTGCTCTGCTCCTCATTATCTGCTCTTGACAACACAAATGCAGCAATTTATCTGCATCTTCACGTGCATTTGTATCTGTCCCTGTTCCTTTACACAATTACACACAACATTCATCATGCATATTATAAATTACGGTGTCATAAATGACTGCAGGCAATTACTACAAGCTAACTACAGTTGATTAACATGCCTCGCCACGTCTCCAAACACCTCGAATTTACCATAGTCCATGTGTATTCCACCACAGCACGTCTGAACAAACCAGACACCATTCTCAGAGAGAAAAAAAAAATTAGACAGAAAGCAAGCAACAGAACCAGAGGGCTAAGATAATTTCTTCACATTGTCTGTCTGGGAACCCTGTGGCGCACTGTGTGTGTGTGTGTGTGTGCACTGATCGTAGCAGGGATGTAATCTCATTAAGGCTGGTCTGATTTATGGAGAGACGAGCGATACGGGTCAGGGTTATGGAAACCACACTAGACCTCCTCTTTGAAACGGGTTATGCACACAAGCAGGGGGCAACTGACTCTATACTCATGCACACACACACACACATACTCAACTTACTGGTCATTATGGGCTTTTTGGAGAGCAAATGAGGGGCAGGTTATTAATCATAGCCTTTAACAAGGTGACAGTGTTCTGTGTGCTAACCATCAGAAGAACAAGTGATTCAATAACACACACTGCTGACCAGAGCCAAGAGCTGAAGATAATAGATTATTTAGTGGTTGGGCAAAAGTGTGCTTGTAGGTATATATATATATATACAGTGGTGTATCTAAAGAAATAATGTATATACCCAGTCACACTGTAAATGTCAATATTTAAAGGGTATTAACCATGGAAAACAGGTTTTTTGTTGATCTTTAAAGAGCAAATGAGGGGCAGGTTATTAATCATAGCCTTTAACAAGGTGACAGTGTTCTGTGTGCTAACCATCAGAAGAACAAGTGATTCAATAACACACACTGCTGACCAGAGCCAAGAGCTGAAGATAATAGATTATTTAGTGGTTGGGCAAAAGTGTGCTTGTATATATATATATATATATACAGTGGTGTATCTAAAGAAATAATGTATATACCCAGTCACACTGTAAATGTCAATATTTAAAGGGTATTAACCATGGAAAACAGGTTTTTTGTTGATCTTTAAAAAAAAAAAAAGACACTAAAAATCCCTTTCCAGTCCAACCCAAACAACATTTATTGAAACTGAGCCAGAAAAAACGACTTTTTCTAAAATCTTTATGGTATATTGAAACCAGAAGCAGGTAGGAGTGGAAGACTTTCACAGGTTTGCCAACTTTTCAGTGACATTTTTATTAACCAAAGGGTTACTAAAAACTATTCACCAGTAGTGGCGGAAAACATTAAAACTAAATGCAAATCTATTGTTTTTGCAAGGAAAAGAACACTAGCATTTGACCGCATTTGCTTTAAATAAATGAAAAAAATTGAACATTCAGCAACTGAACTTTACCCAGCTGATGATGAATAACAGAGTAAACTATTAGGAAGGTTAGCCAATCGCAACAGTAATAATTTACATAAATGGTCTTAAAGGTACAGTAGCAAAAACATTAGTTTTACTTCACATGGTCAAAGAAAGGCTAACATTTATTAGATACATTTTCAAAAGTTTGAGGTCAGCGAGTTATTAAGATATTAAAACTTTTGTTCAGCAAGGATATATTAAATTGATCAAAAGTTTCAGTAAACACATTTATAACGTTACAAATTATTTTCATTTTGTGCTCTTCTTTTGGACTTTCTATCCAACAAAGAAAAAAGTAGCATAGTTTACACACAAATATTGAGCGGCACAACTGTTCTCACCATTGATAATAATTATAAATGTTTCTTGAGCAGCAAAATTAGCATATTAGAATGATTTCTGAAGGATCATGTGACACTGAAGGCTGGAGTAATGATGCTGAAAATTCAGCTTTGATCACAGGAATACATTACATTTTATAATATATTTGAATATAAAACATTTATTTAAAATGTAATAATATTCCATGATATTACTGTTTTTTTTTTATCAAATAGCAAGCTTGGTGAGCATAAGAGACTTCATTCAAAAACATGACTGACACCACACTTTTGAATGGTACTGTACTGTATAACGTTACAATAATTTATTACAATAGTAAATATTACAGTAAGTATTAATTACAAGTACATTAAAGTACAATCAAGTAAGTTAATGTGCTTTTTTGTTTGTTTGTTTTTTTTTTCTAAAAAAAAAAAAGCTGAATATTTGGGTTACAGGACTTTGACCCGTAACTTGCAACAAAAAGTCAACATGCATTTGAGTGTTTGCGCGTGACTTTGGTCTCACCTGGTACTCGCTGGGCCAGAAGGTGCTGACGGCCAACTCCACCTGATGCCACTGCCGCCCCTGAGAGCCGGAAACATTCCACACGGCATTTCCCCGCGAGCCACCGTTTACACGCACATACACGCTCAGGCCCCCGGGACTGTGTCCATCACGGCTGTACAGAAAATAACTGAACTGCACACAGTGTGTGTCGTTCTCACTCAGCGGACGTAACATGAGCTGAGCCCGCTGCCCTGCACCATACTGAGAAGAGTTCACCAGCATGTAGGAACCTGGAGAGAGACAGGGAGAGAGAGATTGTCACTTTCTTGATTCACATGGCACTGTTTGTTCTATTTGCACTTTTGGGTAACACTTTATTTTAAGGTGTCCTTGTTACACATGCAAGTAACCCTTAGCCAAACCCAAATCCTAACCATATAGTAAGTACACGTGGTTAATTAATATTACTTCAGTACTTATATGTATAATTACACTGTAACAAGTACAGCTTAAAATAAAGTGTAACCCCCCCCCTTTGGCTATTTATTTTGTTACACTGCACAAATTGCCGTGTTTATTATAAAACAGAACTACATGTGTCCAAGCAGTACACAAAAGTGTTGCATCATTCCTTAACAAATCAGAGTTTCTGAACAAAATGGTTGAGCGAATTATACAATGACTCACTTATTTAGACAGTCACTTGTTGCCACCTACTGGCGTAATGATGTAACCTTCAGAAAGAGTGACTGAAAAATCCCCAGCACTAATACACATAAATTACACTTTGAACTTTGTGTTGGGTAAGAGAGATGGAGCTCCTGCTAAGCCCACATTTAGACACAGTGATCATAAATGATTGCAGTGATGTTGGGGCAGGGCAGAGATCACTGTGGGTAATGTAGTTTAAAGCAGGTGTAATCAATGCAGTCATGATGGCAGCTCTGCTTGGGTACTCCACCGTTATTAATCACACTGACACAGTTATTAAACCTCTAATGTCTGCCACCAGGGTACCACAAAAACTGCATTACATACAGCGAGAAACTAACAGGTGCAAATTAAAGAAACCCAAACAAATATTACACAGACACAAACATAAAAAACTGAGTGTTGCATCTCAGTGACAAGTAACAATACTTTGATCACTCAATGTCTTGAGCACATTATCTGCTGTCTTTTGTTCTCATTCATTTTTGACCCAGATTTGTACTTTTCCTTCCTTCAATGTGAACATATGGAATATTTTTACTAGTTTTATAATTCGCTATGTGAAAATCTAAAGTCTGGTTCCTTAAAATAGTCCTCAAGCCACGTGATTTAAGGTTTCACTCCTGTCTGTAGAACAAAGAGTACAGGATGACAGATTGAAGAATAATAATTAATTTAGTATGAACAATAACAGATCTACAGTAAGTTTAATAGTGTTTCACAGATGTGACACTTTTCTGAAGCTTGACATGTTGTTTTCTAGATTGGAATTCAGCAAAATTACAGCTTTCAATGTCAAAATAGGTGGCAGCCATTAACAATAATTTTGAGTCTCTTGCTTTTTTGTATTATTTTTGCAATTCATACAAATAAACCCAAAGCTGTTATAACATCTGTCAGGAAGGCTCCTGCTCGGCTGGCCTTATTTATCAACTGAAGAACATCTATTCATTTAGAACATCACCCGAAATTAAATTAAATTAAACCACAGCGCAAGAATAGACAAGTAAAGTTAAAGAAATGAAAATAAGGATCCCAATCATTTTGATTGTGTAACAGATTGGTGCCGTGACCCGGATATGGGCAGGACAGCTAGTGAAAGCTATATATATAAGAGTTGTAAACTTCACTTCCCTGGCTTCAAGAGGTGTGCTAGAGGTGTTTAGCATACTTCTTTGTGCAATTGTCTCCAATGCCGGATGACACTGGTTCCAATCCCGCTCAGAGTGGTGTGAGTAGGACATTGGTGCCATGACCCAGATAGTGGCTAGTGTAACAAAGGACAGTTAGTAAGAGCTGTATCCGTTAACATCATTCCCTGGTCTCAAGAGTTGCATTAGAAGTATTTAGTGTACTTCTTAGAGCAATCGCCTCTCATGCCAGGCAGCACTGGTTTGAATCCCGTTCAAAGTGGTACAAGTAGGACATTTGGTGCCATGACCCGGATAGGGGTGAGTGTAACAAAGGAAAGCTAGAGCTATATATGAGGTAAGCTAGAGGTCTTTAGTGTACTTCTTAGCACAACTGACTCCTATGCCGGGTGACGCATTTTCACGAAGTCAGAGCAGTGTGAGTAAGACCACTTACAATAAAAGTACAGCATATCTTTCCTCTTACAGAAAAAAACACATGAACTTCACATGTTAATATAACACGCAAAATATGTGAGACACATGTGAAACCCTTGTGAAAAATGTGGTTTTGGCCTATATGCTTGGTGTTACTGTGTGAAACCCATGTGTTTCACATGTATTTCACATGTGATTTTTACATGTGATTTCACATGTGAAGTTCGTGTGTTTTTTCTGTGTCATGAACCAAATCTAGCTAAAGGTCAAAACAGTGTGTGTAGAGGCACTAAACCCAATACTAGATTGACCTATAATAGACAATTATGAAATATACCATGGAAGATAACAGATAAAACATTTACTACAGAGATATTCTTCCACATATTTTAAATATTGGAGATGTGTTCAGTGTTTTTGCCTTAAGACCCTGCAGTGATCGTAGCAAGGAGGAGCTCCGGAAGGATAAAAGGAGGAGTGACGACAGTGCAAGATGAGAGAGGACCAGGCCTGGACTATTTATGTTGTTTTGGTTCTGTTTGTGCGCGGCAGTTGTCCGTGAGGGGCTGCCGCTTTTACTTTAATTTTGTGTTTGTTTATTTATTTATTAAAGTTTTATGTGTAAATGTTCGCTGGATCCCGCCACCTTCTTCCCCGAACTACGAACTTTGTTACATTGGTGCCGAAACCCGGGAATGAGGAGGTGGGAACCGACAAACATTTAAACATAATTTAATAACAAAGACACAAAACTGAAAATAGCGCGACAGCCCCTCACGGATGACTGCCATGCACAAACAGAACCAAAACAACATAAATAGTCCAGGCCTGGTCCTCTCTTGTCTTGCACTGTCGTCACTCCTCTTTTTATCCTTCAGCTTCCATGGCTCTCAGCCCCGCCCCACTCGTCACACTATAGTACTATACAATGAACATATTCATGTTCCACAGTTTACATGGTAGCACAAAGTACTTAAGAGTAAGAATTGTATGGTAGTACCATGGTATATTTCCACCCGGAAAATGGTGCATGTACCAAAAAAAAAAAAAAACATGATTCAGTAATGGTAACTTTTTGTTACTGAAGCCCATTGCAAATAACTTTAGTCGAAGGTCAACAGCTGCCCTCCATCTGCATTTGAAATTTAAAGCATGTAGTTTCTTACGCTTGACTGTTTCAAACAACAACCCGCTGAAGAACAAGTTTGCAGCTCCATCGTCTGGAAGAGAACATGAGCGTTTGTTTTTAGACTGACTGTCAGGTTTGTATGCATGAGCGCTCTCGTGGAACGGACTTTAGAGCTGCGGCTTAAAGAGAACAGAGGATAAAAGAATCTCCTTAAATCAAAAGTCCATCTGACGTCTTTATGCAGATCAGCGCCTGAATGAGCATCAGGGCCTGCAGTGAATCGCTATGACAGTCACACATGAAAAAGCGGTGCATCCTGGGAGAACTCACAGCAACAGAATGAAACTTTTAGATATACTGGCAATTTTAGTACCTTTGAATGCAGCATTCTGACTGGAAATTGGATGCAAAACTTAAATAGTTTTTGGTGGATCATAATTTGGTGGGTGTTGTGGGTTGCTCAGATAAACTACTAAAGTAACCAGTGTTGGGGAAAGTTACTTTTAAAAGTAATACATTACAATATTGTGTTACTCCATAAAAAAGTAACTAATTATGTTACTTAGTTACTTTTTATGGAAAGTAATGTGTTACGTTACTTTTGCGTTACTTTTTAAATCTGGACAGGGCTTGCTTGTTTGTTTTTAAAATAAAAAAGTTATATTTTTGGCAAATATAAAAGCCTTTTCACACCAAAAGTGAAATGAATTAGCCTCAGGCTGAAGGGAAAGTACATTTACATCTGTACAGTAGAATGCAGAAGAAGAAATTACAACACACTTTTTGTTTGTCTAAACTCTAGAGTAATTTGTGCTTATTAGTACGGTTGAACTGGATCATCGAAGGCCAGAAGCAAAGACAACGGTTAATAGAATGGGATTAAATACATAAAGCATATTTGTGTTGTTTAACATTTAATTATTGCAGGTTTGCGTCATATTCTGAGTTGCATTATTTTTATTCATTTTGAGGAATACTGAATCTGTTTTTTGTGAGTGAGCTGAATTAATGCATATTCATATTTATTTTAGAACTGCAGTAACATCTTCTGATTTCTGTCACCATGGCAACACTAGAGCTGTCAATCAATAAATTGGAAAAAAAGTTACTTGCGTTACTTATTTGAAAAAGTAACTCAGATATTATGTTGTAAATTAAAAAGTAATGCGTTACTTTACTAGTTACTTGAAAAAAAGTAATCTGATTACGTAACTTGCGTTACTTGCATTACCCCAACACTGAAAGTAACTAACCTAATGTAGTTTTTCATGCTTAAAGTCAACAAGAAACCAGAATGTACTCTTATTTATTTTATAAATAAATGAGTACATAAATGTTCTATCACTATTATTTAAATGCAATTTTAGTTTATATAGTATATTATAGTTGTAGTTTATTCATATTTTGAATTAGCTTTAGATTTTTTATATTGTAATTTTGAGCAATTTTGTTAAATTATTTTGCATTGTTATTATTATTATTATTACTACTGTTTTTATATTACTATTTAGCTGTAATTAATTGTAACTTCAGTTTTAATTCATATTTAAATTAAGCAAACAACTGTGGTGGAAAATCTGACAAAGAAGAAAAAGAAAAGAATAAAATTAGAGGAGGACAGAAAGGACTGTAAGGAACGAGAGGCTGTTTCATCTGTTTCAATGTTTCATCTAATATTTATATTCAATTCAATTTTGAAACGGAAAAATTAACCAACCAGAATTGAGTATTCCAGAGAGCTGTATAATAACAGCAAATAACTAAAGTAAAAAAAAAGACTTCACCTTTTGGAAAACATCCTGTGTTGCTCTGAAATATGTCCCATTATGCAAGTAAAATGGTTTGTAATTGCTGTTTCTTATTGACTTAAAATACATAATTT